GAGAGAGAGAGAGAGAGAGAGAGAGAGAGAGAGAGAGAGAGAGAGAGAGAGTTATGTATGTTTAGATATGTATTGAAAGATGTTTTGTGAGTATTAAAATTATTATTATTATTATTATGAAGCTGCGCCATTTAAAAAATACTGCGTCTTTTAAAGAATACTTTACCGTATGAGAAGATCTGACCTTGATAATCGGTAAATAAATACGGTTTCAGTAGGTTAAACGGACTAGGAAGAGGTTTGATGAAACCGACCGGACCAGAGTCGGTCGTCGATTCGGCAACGCGGGTTACGAAGAGAGTAGCGAATTAATTACCTCGGGCGTTTCCTTCGTGTGCCGAGCCGATGGCGCCGCAGCTGCCGACGGGACGCTTTCGCAAAGTCTGCCCGACGCTCGTTCGTGAATCCGTCACACGATTGCGAATAATCGCGTCGCAGGGACGCGCATCGAGAGCGCGCTTCTCGCGCGACCCTTCGCCTCGCGATGGTGCCCTGGGAAACCGCGAAAACACTTCAGCAAACGCTCCAATCGTTCGCGCTCGATGCTACTACTCGGCTGTTTCTGCGTCGATCTCGATTCGGTGATTCGCGATTCTTATCACGACGCGGCGACACTCCACGCTTCACGTAGTTTCCATATCTCCGTCGCGCATTCCCCTCGCCCTCCTGCGGCTCGCGAATTTTTGCGAATTATCGCGAGAGCGCAGACTGCGCTCCCCCGTTCGCACCTTCGGCTTCTGTGTCTCGTATTAAAATCCACGACTCTTTTATCCTAGGACGGTAACGAGTCTGCCAAGCCTGCTTCTCCGTCAATATTTCTCTAGTATCTCGTCAGCCTGCAGCTCTATCTTGTTTTGAGGAGATACGAGTCGGATGTTCCCTCGTCGCTGATCCTCTCTCGTTCTCTTTCTCCCTCTTCCTCGATGATCGCGAAAGTACGTGTCGAGCGAAATCGATTTCGACAAGCCTCGTTGTTTTGGCAGCTGAACGACTCGAGTTACTTAAAAATTGGCCGTGCGGTACGACGGCGATTTCTCCAAGATGTTAGGCAGACAGACTAGTTTGCGATTCGGCGAACGATTCGACCTCACGCGCACACGGAGCACACTCACAAGTGCAGCGCACGCACACTTTGCGGCTGAGAGACACTCGCGATCGGAACGAAGTCTGATTCGCAAGAGAGAAAGGAGAGAGAGAGAGAGAGAGAGAGAGAGAGAGAGTGTGTGTCGCTGTACGCGCGGTTTCAATATCGAGCGAACACTCTCCTTATCTCAGGTCGCAATTTTTGTCGAATTGGCGACGCGGCACCGTCGCTATCAGCCGTGCTATCTCTCGCGCTTTTCTCTTCTTTTTTCTCTTCTCTCCGCTTTCCCATTAGCAGCCGAAGAAACTGCTCATCCAGCTTTCTGGAATTTCCGCGCCCGCTCCGTTGCCTTTATTAATCGCGCGTATTTCCCAGCGTGCTCCTGCCCAATGAGCGCCTGGTACCCGCTGCGCAACGCTGCGCGCGCGCCTTCGCCGCAAAACGAAGAGACGTAGAGAAAGAGACAGAGATGGCGAACAGACGAAGGCCGCGGTTAAACGCGCGACTCGTGGATCGTTATCTCACGCTTTTCGCGTGTCTGAGCGTTGTCTCGCGGGTACGCGACGGATTACGTGCCGATCCCGGGCGATACGCGGCCACGACTGGCGCGGCCTGTACGCGTGCCGGCGACGCAACGCGACGCCGTCTCGCGGCACGTCATCGTCATAATCACCTGCGCGGTCGCCAGGAGCGTAGCTAACTGCTGTGGGCTCCCCAGCACCCGCTCTCCAAGTGGAAACGTCCGCTGTATCTCGGATCTTGCCAGTATTGAAGCGGACGTGACGACGACGCGCTGTCGCCAAGGTCGTCGGAAAACGTATCAGTTGCGTCGTATCAGTGAAAATATTCGTATTATCGCGCTCACGCTTCCCTTCTTATCGAACTCACCATCCTTACGTAACTACTCTAACTAACGAAGATTCCAGATTTATGTTTAGGGATCTCCAATTCGTATTTTGATCAAATCTCTTTCAAATGGTGAGCGCCATTTGCGGATATTTCACGCGCGCATACGAGTCCTCGAAAGGTTATGCGCGGTTAGTTTCGCACAAAGCATTTTCGAGTGTTCCCCGAGAACGAAATGGAAGGTCATTTTGGCGTCATTGATGCGCGACGAACGCACAGAAACAGACAGCGAGTGGAGCCATAGATTTCGCTGGAAATTATGAAAGAAATTCGGCCACTCGCCTTCTCGCCAATTTCGTGAGTCGTCGCGCGCGCGCTACGGCCATGGCGAGGCGGCCATTAATGCGCATGCGTTGTCGATGATGTCATCGTCGTTCGCGTTATTCTCCAGATACATTCAGCTCGCTGTCGCGTCGCCTCGCCGCTAAAGCTAGAATCACACGATTTCATGCCTTCTTACATGTGTGCTGATCGACAATTCGGCGGGACACCGCATGAATTGCATTGGAAGGATCTATGCAGTGAACTGAGCTATGTGTCAGCATGCATGTCAGAGGGCATGAAGGAATATGTTCCTAGCTTTATATCGCGTCGGGGGCGATCGTATTATACAGTAGTGTGCATTAATTCGAAAGCATTATTATGACTGGGCCTTATCTCCGATGTCCGTCGGTTCTTGTTTTTATTTTTAGCTTCACATTGGATTTCTGCGTAGGTAACGAGGTGTATTCAAGGCTCGCTCTGTTTTAACAATTGCGCCTTGCTTGCGCATACAACATCGGCGAATTGTTTACCGCGGTCGTGCACCGAACAATCCACATCCTGCACAAAGAGATCATGTGCTGAGGGCGCGCACAATGGGCTCGGCGACTCGTGTTTTTCTCTCTGTTTTTCGCGAGACGCGAAGACGGGGCGAGATGAAATGTGAAAGTGGGTGTTAAAAGCGAGCTCGATATTACACGGGAAACGACGAATGAAATTCCGATTAGAGGACAACAGAGACGTTACGGCTGCGACGACGCGAGTCGACGGCCACGTTGAAATTCGAAGATGCACGAAAGGGGGACTCGGAGGGGCGCAGACTGGTGTGCCTTTAAATGAAAATCTAAAATCCTCTCTTATACATACGTATACACGAAAGCTGTTCTATTTGCATGCGAAGCGTGAATTGCAAAACGCGCATTGAGACCGCCAAAAGATATCAATGGCACAAGCACTTTACAGATAATGCTAATATTTACACAGATATCGTAGGAAAAATGTCGACCGGTGCACATACATACGCAATCGCGATCAAAAGACGTTCGCTCGCTTGCACGAGCGATTTTGAAATCGCGCGTGGTCAACACTTTCAACACTTTGAGAAGCAAATCAGGCTACACTATGTATAGCATCGCGGAAGATTTATTTTCCACAGCTTCTCGAAACGAGACGTCGTGGTAATTGCGCTACAACACAGTCTGCAGAGGAATACGTTAACCGCCAACGAATGGGAGTAAAATAATAAGGACCAAACTGTCGAGGCAAATGTTTACATAGCAATTGTGCTGCGAAAAAGAAATGTTTGATATTTGCGTGACTATAATTGCGCAACGAAACAGTTGCAATGATCGCGAGGATCATCCTTGCAGCAAAAGCTGCTGTAGAGTTCGCGATAATAATTTCATATACCTATTCCTACGCGCGGAAAGATTAATTGTGAGTTTGATCGGATGGATCCACTCCCAATGTTATATGAATGATTCAGAAATTTCGGTCGGAATTCTGTCTAAGTTAACTAGAAATTTCAATAATTTCCACTGAATTCTGATAACTGCAGTCGAATCGTCTATATCTCAGCAGAAATTGCTTCATTTAATCTCTTTTTTTCATACACTACTCATCTTTGGGGACAACGAAGAAATATATTTATCGCCCAAAAAGGTTATATAATTTCCGCAAGAATAACAAATCTTTCCTCTCAGTGTAGCAAAAGCACTTTTGACAAAACGTCGTGAATAATTCGTATCAATCCGCGCGCGCGCTATCATACATTGATTATTTGACTTCGTTTACTTTGTTACTTCATATCACCGATGAACGATGCACGATTGTTTGACGATTTTAAGATTTCACGGGGACAGATCAGATTTCTGTGTCCACTTCCAAGCTGACGGGTAACAAGGCGTCGCTCGGCAGGGCGCTTCGTTAGGTGCGTTGACCAACACCAACGTCGCCGCGAAGAATTGGCACCAGACGCGCTGCATCTGTTCTGCAATAAAGATCGAAAAAGGTTCCGGCGAACGTCGGAGCGACGCACGGAGCGTTTCTGATTCATTGGGATGGTTTATTTCTGCCGACCATTCCGCCGCGCCCCCGGTAACGTCTCGCTCTCCTTAACTCTATACTTACACGCTTATCATTAATTTCAGCGCTATTCTTTCGTGAACCCGGCGGAATCGCCAAATCTCGCCGCGCGGGCCACCGTGCGCGCACACGGAATTCGCGTGTATAAATAAGCGTGTGCTCTCTCTCCTCTCCTCTCGTCACCTCGCCGTTCCCTCGTTTATTCCTCTCTCGCCCTCCTGCTTCCTCGGTTTCTCGCGCTGAGAACGAGTCGCATCGTCGCGGAACCACTTCCGAGGGAAGGCCGACCGGTTCCAAGTGCGTTCAGAGATCGACTCTCGATTACGACGTCCGCGAGTCAAATTAGTCACGATCCTTTCTCGGTCTGCTGGTTAACCGATCATTATCAGCTCTTAAGTAAACGTAAACAGATAGCGTACACTTAAAGATTGAGGAGCCACCAACTGCTATGTGACTCGCGATAATGAGCGGCAAATTTTTCTCGCACGAGATTCGTAAAACAATCACACAATCTGCGATATCGACGCGATTAATTATTAAATATATACACGCGGTTGCTGTCGATCAGACGGAAAAGTCGTCGCGCGAGCATGACCTAGGTTCTATGAAACGCACACAGAGAACGTCAGGACAGATGACGTGGATCGAGTTGCTCGATTAAATTCAAAGTAGACTTCGACGCGAATTTAATTTCTGACTTCTCTCCGATAGCGAGGTACGATACAATACTGCAAGACATACGTTCTATCGATAAAGACCTCCTTCATTTTTTACGCCGCAGATAAAGCGACACTGGAGAGTCAACTGACAATTCAGGAGACATTTTCGGTCCTCGGGGTGCATTTTCATGCAAGTGAAAGCCACCGGTTGGCGCGCTTGCTCGTCATGAATTGTTGATGGCCCGCTCCGAGCCGACCGGAACGACTGCCAAGCAAGAGAATCTGGAGAACGGCGCAGGAGAGGAGAGAAACGGTGTTCTAATTGTCTATTATATTTCGAGGACACGACTCGATCGATCGCGCCACGATGCCCGCGTCTTCGCGCACAACAATATTGTGTACCCTTACGCTAGGTTTAATGACACTCCATGTCGAGACTGGAAAAACCGCAGGAGGAAGTAGGACCGGCTATTAATACGGTGACTTACCGGAATCCAGTGTAAAACGCAAGTCGCGCGGATCGCGCGTATTGGTCATAGCGCGATTGATAAAGTCGGAGCACGCGTGACAAAGGAGAAGTGATAAGCAGCGGTGAGCAAGGAAAGTGAGATAAACAAACAGAGAGAGAAAGAAAGAAAGAGAGAGAAAGAGGAAGTGAGAGGAGTGAGGGAAGAAGGGACAATTTTATATGCCATTTAATTCGCATATGCAGACGTACATTGCACGAGGCAATATACGGGCGATAAGAATATCGTCTCATTGCGAGCGAACGAGGCCACCGATCGGTGCGTTCGCGCGTGGAATTCTCTGGAGACACGCAAATCAGACGGTGTCCTCGTCTTCACGTGGACTCAGACTGCAGGTTGAACGCTCCTCGAGCGGTTCTCGCGAGGTCATGTCTCGGTCGAAACGCACTCGGGTCCGCGTATCGGTTGCGAAAATTATTTTGCACGTGTCTCTTACGTGTCGAATTGAAACTCGAGATAGGACACATGACGACATTTGATGTAGCTGATTAATAATTAATTTTGTCAATCGATTCGATTATTTGTGATTTTGTACATGATGGTTGATTAATTTTGATTGTCGATTTGCCGATTATTTTAGTCAAAGAAAATTTTAATCAAATTATGTTCAACACTGCGAGCACTAATTCACTAATTCATTTCTTGTACTAAAATAATCGGCGTATCAATGATCAAGATTAATCGAACATCATGTATAAAGTCACAAATAATTTCGTCAATTGATGAAATTAATTATTAATCAAATTTTGATATAATTGATTATATGTTGATTAATAATCAATCTCATCGATCAAACTTTGTTTGCAATTTTACACATGACGGTCGATCACTTCTGATTGATGACTGGCCAATAATTTTAGTCAAAGAGAATTTTTTAATCGATTAATGCTCAACATAGTGACTACGGTTTCTAACTAAGCCCAACTTGCTCAAAGAGCTCCTAAGTGTTGATCCTCCGTTGCGTCCGAGAGACTCTCGTCAGTTGGAAACTTGCTTCAATTTTACCGCGAAAGTTCCGTGCTCGAGGCTGAACTAAAACAACGCAAAGTGTAACTTTGTCCTGACGCTTCTCAGAATACCTCTCACGTCATCAGAAGCGAAAACGGTGTTCGACGTGAAGATGACCGATTGGCGAGCTTGCGATCGGAGTGTCGGCGTGGAGGTCACGAGATACGCGGGCGATCGCGACTGTCTTATTCTAAAATGCCAACAATCTTGCGCAACGGTCTTATTCTTGCAAGGGAAAGGTGCATCTCGCACGTGTGACGTCAATATATTACTTACTGGGAACCGCGGAGACCGCTCAGCGGACGATTAAGCCGCGGATAACGCGGATAACTCGAGGTGCAGCGCGCTGGTATCATAACCTACCATTAGTAGTGCGATTTTCCTTGCGAGATTAGTTCATTATCGGTTTTCGTGACGTAGCAGGTGTAGATCAGGCCTGACTCAAAGCGCCGACAAGCTCACGCGTACGCAACGAGCTTGATCAGTAACGACTCTGAATCCGATTGGGTGAATAGCACGGCGGGTTACGCAAAGCGTCCTGATTTCGCGTTGTTCGGACGCACTTCGCCGCGGAAGCCGTTCAATGTTGAATTATGTCAGCCATAGTTTATCGCGGCTGTGACACAGTCCTTCACGGTCGTTTCGTCGATAACACCTCTTCGTCCTAAGTGTAACGGCTGGGTTTCCCGACGAAAACCGCTCGTAAACGGTTGCCCGCAGTGCCCGCCTTTTTCTTTTTCACGCATGAGAGGCGCAGGTGGAAAATCACATTTAATCGGCTTTTGCTAGCTCGCACGCACGTTCTTACGTTGCAGAACGTAATAATGTGCATTTTAATCAAACGTTGTGCTATATAAAAACTTCGTGCGCGTGTTCAATATGACGTCACTCTTGTATGCGATTAATGAAACAGATAAAATGTGTGCAACAACGAATAAACGTATGTTACCGTGGCTGACGAGGTGGAAAAAAAGAGCATAGTGACGTGCGTGCATGCGCTAATTTGAAGTAATAATTACATAAGCTACCTACTTGGATCTATCGCGATTTGAATGTAATAATCCAATGACGTACAGAGTGTTATATTTTCGCACGATAAGACAGGACGTGCGTGCGCAATAGATTGCGATGTAGCAATCGGTATGATTAAAATTTTACGTATATGTAAAGTACGTAAGATTAAAGAATAAAGTAACAAATAAATTAAAATTAGGGTTGTGCCCCGGTCAATCGGTAAGATAAGGTTTTTATCTTAATTTCTTTTCCGTAATTTAATCGCCCTCCAACTCGATCTAACTTTCGCTGGTTCCATCAAATAAAACGATTGACGTAGCTAGCTAAACTTGTAAAGTGCACTTCCATTATTTATTATATCCCGCAGAAAGCGAATATTTCTCAATTTTTACTTCACCGCACTGTGGTGTTTCCTTATCTCGTATAAGTAATGTTAAGTGCTGCGAATGCATATATGAGATTTAAAATTGAAAATCTGTACTTCTGTGCTTTATTATCTAACTTGGGTAATTTCCATACGCGACTATTTATGTTGTGTTTTACATGAGTCTCTTTATTTCGTCGTGCCTATTCAAGAATAGCTGTTAATCTCTTAAATTCTTATTCCGGACTCTCTTTTATCGATAAAAGTATCTCTAAATGTAACTTATAAGCTTTCTGCTTGGATCTCAGACACATTTAAAGATATTTTTATCGATATAAGAGAGTTCAGAATGACGGCCTTAGCGAATGAATCCGGTTCGCACTCTTAAAGTAATTAGTCCAATTACTTTAAGAGTGCGATTTATTAGACGCTACAAATGCTTTGAAACGCCGTATTTGGACTAATCATATTTCCTCCATACGCGCTTCAAAGCGTTTGTAACATCTAATGAATCGCACTATAAATCTATCATATTGTACGGTTATTTTGATATTTTTTAAACATATTTATATCCCTATCCACGATCAATGGCGAGTACTTCTGGACGCGAAAATTCAGTATCGATACTGACACAGTGTCTCCAATGTTCAATTCTATTGCACACAAAAAGCAATTCTGTCAGTGCTGAATTTCTTGTTATTTGATAATCAAATGAAAAACTCAGTCGTAGCAGCAGAAAGATTCCATTAATAAGGAGACTTCTATCCAAATCCGATTGCCCTCAATTATCTCAACCGTGTTTTAGTGCAGCTGAATGTTTATGCTCGCAGTAACAGATATCATTTCTCGTCACGGCGAATTTTTAACGTCTGGTCCTCATTCTCGACCTGAAATCTTTTTTTTCATATGGATATGCGTCAGCATGAGGCGAGAGAGAAACGGCGACAAAATCAAATAAATTCGATATCATACATACTTCGCCTTTCTACCGAGAAATAATCGATGGCGTAAAATTGCATATTCAGCCAACAGTTTCACGACGATCCGGACCGACCAGGTCGCGTTTTTCCCTGAATTGCGAAACGGGTTTTCTTAATACCTGAAACGATGGCAGTTTTCCACGAAAATAATAGCGTACACGTAGAGACACAGTATTAAAATATCGCGTGACCACAATTGTGGATACGCATGCACGCATACACGTACGCACGCCAGTTCATTATTTTTATATTATGATCTAATTTTATAGCTCCTGGAAGCATGGGTGACGCGTATCTCGATCGATAAAGATCGGTGGCGCAACGGTAAGTTGCAGATCGGTGATCTTTAACATACTAACCGTGAACTTCGATGCTTTCCCACACTTTTTCTCTTTATAATGATAAAATGTGGTTGTCTATCGATCTATATAACATGTTTGGATATAAAGTCATGAGACCATAACGGTATCTGCATATGTAACTTTAGATCAACGATCATTTCTCGGTAAGAAGATAGAACGAGTGCGGCATCAATAAAATGTGATTACTAATTATAGCAATGTGATATGTTTTATCTCACATGTTATAGTTCGCAGTATTTACATATCCTTACTCCCCAAGTCACTATGAGCAAAATATTGGATATATCGAACGTAAGTGATGCAAAAATTTTCTTCCTATCTTTTTACCTATAACCATAGCCAATAAGTGATGATGTCGAAAAATCAATCACGCTTGAATAATTATATATTTATGATTCTGATACCTCAATTATTAATTAAAAAAAAAAATGCTGCAGCCTATTAGCAGGTGTGAATAGTTCTGGAGTAACCCTCAGACATTTATATAGAATATATAAGCGATTGCGTTTACGATATTGGACAGGATATTTTTTCTATAAAGTATCCATAAGATGAATGTTATAAATATTGTCTTGATTATATTGTGGAGCAAATCCATCCTAAAACATAAAAAATATTGTCGTATTAAGCGTCTTGTCTCGTATCTCTCTTGATATACCAGAAACTTTGCAAGCATCGAGAAATTTTTATTTTGTATTTTTAGGTGGACGATAGAAGCGAAAAATAACACGCAAATGAAAAGTCATTTTTAGCTTATCGGTCGCTGTTAGTATTTTACAACTCTGAGAATAAATAAATAATCAAACGTTCCGATATTCATTGACACACGACTGACGTTGGAATTATACTTTTCATTTTCTCAATGGGAAAAGGAAAAAAGCAGGATTGCTGAAAATTACGGTAAAAAGATACTAATTCAACACTAATTCTAGCACTCAAGAATTAAGAATTAGTTTGCAATCCGCTTTACAATTAGTTCAAGATCGTTGTATCAGTAAATTACATAGAATCAGTTCTGGCAACTTCTTTGACAAAACATTACAACTAACATTACTAACTTCCATTTCATTTTGATTTCCGCCATTATATCGAAAACAATAGCGAGCTTTACGTAATCTGTCTTGAGAGAAAGAGAATAAGAGAGAGAGAGAGAGAGAGAGAGAGAGAGAGAGAGAGAGAGAGAGAGAGAGAGAGAGAG